CAAAAGCAACACAAGTCATGCTCACGTTCTCTCTCTTCTAAGGATTAAAAAAAGTTTACTGTTCACCAAACTGTAGCTGTAATTCTTTGCAATACACTCCAATCGACTGTAAAATCTGAATAGCATTTAACATTAATTTTACTGAGCATCATATTTCCATGCTTCAGTATTCAGAATGCATCTATTTTTTTTCTGTGTGTTGGAAAACCATAAATCTAGACATTAGCTTTGCATCTTCTGCCAAGATTTAAATCTTAATTCCCACATGGCTGTGCATTTAATAATTTGAAGGCATTATTTTGCTAGACACACTCAGTCCTGAAAGCAAAATCAAGTCCTACAGTGCAGCTGAAATTTCAACTAGTTACAGCACAACACATTTCCTCGCTATTATCTAAGTTTGACTTAGTTCTTCAAGCTTTTCAAAGCTTTGCTCACCCCTCCTCAGAAGAAAAAGAAGTTGATCAGTGTCGCCTACTGTGAACAGAGAAGCTTGCAGAGAATCCATTCCCAGAAGCCCGCTAAACAGAGGTCGTTATTGGGATACAAAAAGTTACAAGCACCGATTATTCAGCCCCCACTGGTCTAAGTACAAGTACTACGCTCAGACTTCATGGGATTACCAACAACCAGAAACTGCATACTTTAAAGGAATTTCTATGGTTTTCTATCAGTTGAAACAAGAAGTCTTTAGATAACCTACTCCTACTCAACATAATATAAATTAAGTATTTTTAAATCAGTGTTTCCTCCTGTTCTAAAGTGACGGACCAGATACAGATATGAAAATATCGAATTCCTCACGGTTTTACCACTGAAAAACAACAACTAGAACATAAAGATGGAGATTCACAGCACTGCATGAGACCTATTAGGTCAACTTTAAAAGAAGGCAGCAGCATCCAGATGCTTATCAGCCCTTACCTCTTCAGGTTACCTACCTTATGTTCTACAGACAATTAAGAGAAACTCAACAAGACCAGGCTCCATACCACCCCACTGCAGTTTTGGAATACCCACACCGGCTCTCCCCTTCCCACCCACAGGAGTCCACACGCTGGCTGCCTACTTCATGCCACACAGCCCAGCCACCTGACACAAACAGTGGCTGTGCTTTCTGAAGTTACCCACTATCAGCCTAGATAAGCTGCAGGCAGTGGAAAACCTGCCACAGACGAGGCAAAACATCCAAGCAAAGACAACTGAGCTGCAAACAGAAACCAAGAAGCTGAACTTGCTGCTGTTCCCCTCTAAGTCAGGTGCGAAGGAAACCTTACACGGAGACCATGCCTTGCACCACACTGCTAGCGAAATTACAGCACACTCAGGACACCTTTTCTTTGCTGACACTGTGCTTGCTCAGCCCCACTGGTGTTAGCAGTAATGGAAAGCATAAAACAGAAATACACACGCCAGAGGCAGCCAATGCTACAGTAGAGAGGATGGCAGCTGTTGCCACAGTGGCATGAGGTGAGGTTTTCAAAGAATTTTCCTGCTCTAAGCGAATTGAAGGTAACAATGGAGGATCCCTGGCATCTGGTTCAGTTCTGTCCTTTTTCATCCTATCAGCAGAGAAGCAGATTTATCTACTAATTGTTCTTTCAACACCTGCTTGTTATGAATATTCCAGGTCCAGGGATAGACTGAAAGAACAGGCACAGAAGTGGCAAAAACCTAAGTTCAAGAAAAGTAAACAAAACCAAGAAACAACACTCTTTTTGTTGTTTTTATGCTCTTTTTCTACCCTCCACTTCTCCAAAGCAGTGTGGGGCCCAAAGACACTAAGGAGAACTACAGACATTTGTCACGGCCCTTTGTCTCTCCTTCCCCTTCCCAATTAATTCCTCCTGTCTAATAGCACAGTCCATCCATTTCTCCCCCCCATTAAGCTCAGGTTAACCAAGGACACAATTTCTTGTTAAGCAGATGGTCCATGACATGAGACTTTTGCAGGTTTGTACGCATCAGCACAGGCCACATGGAGCTCAGGACTGAGGCAGCACTGCGCTCACCACGCCGCTCTGCTCTCTGCAGACCCAGACTGCTACGTGCAGAGCCTTCTGAAATGCTGCTAGCCTCGCTGCTCTTGTCAGCAAAGAGGGCAACTGAGGAAAGGTCCCTTTGGTAGATCAAATCCCCTTGTTCATTTGGGAGGATACAGCCCAGCCATTGAGTCTGCGAGCTGATGGTATGCACGATAAGAAGACTAAACCCATCCCTGAAGTCAGACCAGCTGGAGTCCTACTTCGTGCTCAAGCCTCCAGTGGTGGTCAGCCAGGGATGGACTGGAGCAGGAGGATGGCCTTGGGTAGCAGCAGCACTGCTCTGACAGCTGGCTGCTCCGCTGAAAACCAGCACTTTGTGGAGGAAATCAAAGGAAGGTCATGAAAAATCCTTGCTACTCATGAGCAAGCCTGAGTCCTTCAAGACCAAGAGAACTTGTAAAGCTCAGTGGTCTTTCAGACAAATCAGACAAAATCAGACAAAAAGAGGCACTTGGCAGATGGGCAATCTGTGCTCAGGGGCATGAGGAGTCAGTCATTAGCTAGTCATCTGCTTTTCCCAATTCCTGGCTTTATGCTGAGCAAGAGAAAGGGGGAGGTAGAGACGGAAGAGAAAGAACAGCATAAATCCCAGATTTCCATGAACCTCCCTGCCCTCCAGGTCAAACACAACTCGGCTGGTGCCCTTCCTTCCCCAGACTTCAGTGCTATGGAAGCAATGCCCACTCTGGGCACAATCCGTTCATCACACACTCAGCATGACCAGTAAGGGCAGTGCTGTCCAGCCTTCCTCAGAACAAGCCACTTCAAATACTTCCCTTTGAAACCTGAAGGAAGGATGTTTTCTGTATGCATTTTTCTTAACACGTGACACAAAAGATGAATGCCATTATTTTAAACCTAAGTGCATCTTCCCTTCTGTATTTTATCCTGTATGGCTAGATTTGGCAGTTTATTTGAAATAAAAAACTTTTCAAGCCTAGGAATTTGGTGGTTTATTCCACTTCTTTTTCTTAATGCTGCTAAGACTTGTAGCTTTAATGCTATCCACCTTGCATTTTTTATTATTAATTAAAAATTGAATCCACCTAGGAGACAGGTAAAATACTAACACCGTTTCAAGACAGAATGCATTTTTATATAACCTTGCAACAATTACATAGAAAAGTTCCCCTGAAACATTGATCCATTTGAAATCTGACAATGTCCAGCTCCTTTTGAAGCACTGAAGTCCACACAGTTATTTTTATTTACAATGCTGCAGAGTACCAGCACCTCTGAACTTCTGATACAAAGACGGCATTGTCCCAAGAGCAAGGAAAACAAGCTGATGCAACTGAGGGGTAATACTACTTTTGTGACGTCTGCTTCCTACCACAACACAAGTCAGATGACATTCAACAGTATACCTGGACACAGTCAAACTTAAGCCACTACAAAAACCCTGTAAGTTTTGCTAACTTGTAGTTCCCAAACCACAGGCAACTCGCTTGATCACCCACCTTCACAGATAGGTATTTAACTCAACGTCAATACATTCCAGAAAGCAAAAGTATTAGATACAAAACCTGAATACCTGGGAAGCCCTGCTACTAGAAGTTAATATATTTCCATTAGGTTCATTTCAGAGGAAAGTTGGCAAGGATTTAAACCCATCCTTGACTGCTGACTACCCAGACATTACAGCATCATGAGTGCTGGGAAATCTACAGTGAAACTGACTGACTAAAGACTTTTTTTTTTAAATTAGCATTATATATTTCCTTGGGAGGTGCATGTCTTTGATAAAGACACTGGCATTTAAAAAAAAATGAGCAAAGGAAAAAAAAACAAATATGCACTACCAGCACAGGGATTACTGTAAAGCCAGTCATTGTTTTCAGCAATATCCAACCTGAAAGTAATTGCAACAGATGCTCCAACAACAGAACTATCCTGGCAGGAAATAATTATAGCATCAAATAGCAATGAAGTCATTACATATCTTGGGGTCTCAACAGAGCGAGACCAAAACCAATGAAAGCAAAGTCACTTTTTTTTTTTTTTTTTTTTTTTTAAGCACTTAAATACAGCCCAACAGGGAGAAGTGGGAAGTTCAGAACCAACAGCACCTTCTCCCTCTTAAGAGAAAGTGCAGGTGGAAGCCCTGGCTAATCCTCTGTTGCTATCCAAAGTATTAAGATGTCTGTATCAGCATTGTGCAATTCCTACACAAATATTTTCACTGCTGTTATAGGACGCACATCTGCAAGGACGGCATCTCCCCGAACCCTTACGTTTCCCACGGAGGATTTATAGAAAAAAAAAGGTTTCAAGGAGCAACACGTAATGAACTTTCAACTCTGTCCTCCTTAGGCACGGCGGTATTTTGTTCCATCCACAGTCGCATCGGCCTGGTCGTGCCGGTGACAAGAATTCCCGCGGGACAGCCCGGCCGGAGGGGAGTGCGGGCAGCCTGACCCGCCCGGTGAGTTACGGAGCCGCTCTGCAGCCGCCAAGCCACGCTCGCACCCCCGCCCCGAGATACTCCTTCATCCAAGTTCCACTAAAGCCTCGAGCAGTCCTTTTCAAGTCACGTATATGGGTAACTTGGCCGCTGAGTTTTTGGTTACTTCTCCTGCTCTTCGTGCTATCCAGCAAAGTAAGAAGTTGCCTTTATCCAGAGACTTCCAGATCTATCCTCCAGACAGGCTGTAAGCATCCCCAGCGCTACCCGACGGAACCCAGTCACATTGCCCGTGCCCAGCAAGGCACACGCACACGCCGGTTCCCAGAAGTCTGGGGCGGACAAGCAGCCCGAAACACACACCTCCACTACACCACCGCCACCCCCGCCGCCCTGCCCGTCCTTCGCCACGGCCCGTCTCCAGCAGCAAGGGCAGCGCGGCGGGCCCCGTCCTGCCCACCGGCCCCCCGGCAGCGACGACCGCGACATGCCGGCTAAGTCGCGACACGGGACATGTCCGCAACTGGGGCAGCCCGGGAGGGATCACTCACCTGGGGGCAGCTGCAAGTTGGCCGGCAACTGGAGGGTGGCCGCGGGTGGCCCCTTGGGCGCCACCGGCCGCGGGACGCCGGGAGCGGCCCCCCGCACCAGCGGGGTGCCCGTGGGGGCGGCCGCGGGACGCGGGGCGGCAGCNNAGCCCGCGGCTGGGGCGCAGGCGGCCGCCTGCTCCGGGTGCCCGCCGGGCATCAGCCTGACGGGGGCCGCCGAGGCGCTCATGGAGGAGGAGGCGGCGAGGGGACGGGGGGCGGCCGCGTCGCGCAGAGCCCCGCGGCGCCCCGCAGCATCGCGGGCGGGCGGCGCTCAGGCGGTGCCCCGGCCGGCGGCTCGCCCGCCGAAACACATGGCAGCGCCGCTCCTCCGGCTCCCGGGCGCCGCGCACGTGGGCCCGGCCGGCCCGGCCTCCCCTGCCGGCGGCGGGAGGGAGGGAGAGAAGGGAGGAGGGAAGAAGGGCGGGCCAATGCCGCCAGAGCGTCCTACTGCGGCGGCGCCCGGCCCAGCCCCGCCGCCCCTTTGAGCCCGCCCGTGTTTACGGAGCCATGCGGACTCCAGTGCTTGTGCCGCGTTGAAGTTGGCGGCAGCGGGGAGAGTCCGGGCGGCCGGAGAGGGACGCGCCCGGATCCCCGGGATGGGGTGAGGCGCGGAGCGGAGCCGCTCCTCCCGCCGTGCCAGCCTCCGGCCCGCCTACCTGCGCCAGAGCACCCCCGGCTGTACCTGGGCTGCAGGTGTCCTTGGGGCTTCCATTCAAAACGAGAGCGGCTCCGGCAAGCGTGAGAGCTCGTCGTGTCGTGATGGGAACTTGCTGACAGGCCGAGACGGCGAAAGCAGCTCGATGAAGGGGACAGCGTTGTCCCGTTTGACCTTCATGCCCGGGGCTCGACTTGAAGAAAGGCTGAGGGAGGACGTGGAACTCAGTCGCCCTTGTAAAGCAAGGGTCATCCTGACAGAATACACACTACACGGCTCTAAAAACAAATTTTAAAATATAATGGAAAGTTTCTGCATGTGTGATAGGGAACTCGGCATGACCTTCAGTAATTCTGCTTTGAGGTTGTTGTGTATCATAGCCAAGTCTAGATTAAATTTCACTACATCCTGAAGCATGTTGATGCACGTGCTTTAGTTTATGCATAAAATTTAAGGGGTATTGCATATAACTACCCAAACTGAGCACAACATAAGCAATTACAAAATACAGGGCCTATTGTATGGTTCATTAAAGTGGTACAAAAAGCTCGAAGTCCAAAAATACTAGGAGAAAAAAAAAAATTACTCTTGTATTACACTTTCCTAGCAACTATGTTTTTCAGATAGAAATGTAGACAAGAAAGGGAAACACTCCTCTTTTTGGCCATTTCGAGTAACAACTTTGCCTGCGATTCCACAGCATTAGTGCTTTGTATTGCTCTCAGCAGAAACAGAAACAGAGAAGAGAAATTGCTCACCTCTTGCCATGCCTACTCTATTCCAGAACAAATCAGCCCAAAATCTCAAAAGAAGTGGCAGCAGCAATGGTCAGAGTTTCCAAGTGTCAGAGCAAGCTAAGAAGATGGTGAAAAAGAAGAGGTGGTAATGCAAGAGAGAGCATCCTCTGTACCTTTTACACCTCTGCCAAGTCTGACCAAATTACATCACTTCTTACGCACATAAAGTAACAACCAGGGTACAGCGAGTTACCTCCTACATGCCAAAGGATGCACAGAGACCAGGAGAGAGGGATGCTTCATTTTCAGCAAAGACCAGCAGTGACTGATGGCAGAAGGGAAGAGGATGCAAAGCAAGGCATCGTGTTTATGATTCTTGGACTTCAGGAAGAGTGGAGCTGGCTTCTTGCTTAAAGCCAAGTTTTTATCTTCTTGCAGCCATTGAACTTTAGAGGGAACCTCTGAGACCCCCATGTTAATGCTAAGGAGTGAAAGCATATTTGTGATGCTAAGGAGAGAAAGGAGGCAAAAAGAAAGACAACAGAAGTGTATGCACCAAAGCTGCAAAGCACAGCACTGCGTGAAAATGAGAAGTAGAAAATACAGCATAGTGAAAGAAAGAAATACATGAATCAAGGAGCAAAGGAAGCAATATGAAATGCATTACAAGAAAAGGCATACCACAATTACAATAAAGAGGAAAACAAATAATACCTAGAAAATGTAAAAATATACATATCTTAAAAAAATTAAAAAGTTAAAGTGCCATAAGTATCTTCTCCAAACAAAGCAGAGGCACCATCATTGTATGAAACTGCGCAGGAAATAAAAGGAAGAGTCTTTTTCCCACGCTGGAAATGTGTGTTATCATAGAGGCCCAGTATGCACTCTTTATTAGCAAGGGAAGGGAAATACAAAGGGAAATACAAAAAATCATTCAGAATATAAAGGAAGAAAGAATCTGGAACTTGAAAGCTGTTTTCATAACTGAAGAGGTTACAGCACGTGTAAGGAAATTATTTTTGTCATTACGTGGAGTTTTGGGGTTTTAAAAAATCTTTATTCTCTTGGATAAATGCCACCATCAAAAAAACCTCGATACACTGAAAAACACTGAATTAAGTCATCATTCTTGTCTACACTCTTTTTTACCCCAAGACCTTGTCTGGGGGATACTGGTAAACATGGTAATTGCTTTTCAAAGTCAGCTGAAGATGCATCTCACCATGGAACTGTTCCTTCCATGAACACCCGGCCTTGGCAAACTGACCTGCTCTACTACTTCAAATAACCCATGAATGGGTGCATCTGAAATTCATATAGAACTCCCTTCTTTACCTTCCAGGCACAGGAAAGCATTACAGCAAACAGCAGCTCAGACTTCCTTTCCAGGAGCTATTAGGTTGGATAGATACTGCCCATAGTTTGCTCTGCATGACCTGTTTCCAACAGCTGAGACCTTCACAGTGCACATTGAATCAGTCTGTGCTGTTCTAAGCTTTCTGGAGGCTTTCACATAGCATATTTAAAACACAAACCACCTTCCATAAAGCCACTTGCCCTTCAAAATTTCTGTCCACACAGCAGGCCTTAACTCTTCTTTTTAAGTCCTTAGGTGTTAAGCCAGTTTCATTTAGAGCAATGGTTTCAGCTTCCCATAATCCTATAAAATCTATCTAGTATGCTTCAAGGGGTTTTTATCTGTCCATGATTCTTTTTACAAAAGTTTTATATTCTCTTAGTTAGAAATTCAGGAATATAATACATGAGCAAAAAGACTAAGTAAGGGGAATCAAAGTTGTAAATGTGTATCTATTTACTAATAAAGTGAAATCACAGATAGCTATTTAATATCAGCAGTAAACACACCTTCATTTTGGTTGCAATTTTAGTAGATTTGTTTGTTTGTTTGTTTATAGTCAGAGATACAGTCTGCCCTGTTTTTTGTCTTGACTGATGATATTTTTATGGAGGTACCTCTTTCAGGTATTCAGGTCACAACGTATATACAGATTTGCATAAGTCAAAGTCTTTGTTCCATGAGGTACAATACCCTGCAGGTTTAAAACCTTATAAAACACTTAAAAGTACAGCAGGAAGGTATAACAAAAGAATTGGGCATATACTTTTATACTGTTACATGGCATAAAACTTGGTTGACCATACTGAGCTACTAAGCAAGGGTTAACAGTGAGGCACATGAAGTCCCAGCAGAGGAATTCCTGTCTGGCTGTGCACCTGCAGTGCCAGCTGATTTGAGGAACCCCAAGCTACATCTCAGAGCCATAGAAATATGTGTTGGAGAAGACCACCAAGACCATCAAGTCCAGTCATTACCCTGCACTGCCAAGTCCATCACTAAGCCTTGTCCCTCAGTACCACATGTACAGATTGTTTCAATACCTCTAGGGATTATGACTTAACCACTTCCCTGGCAGACTGTTCCAACGCTCAGCAGCCCTTTCAGTGAAGGAATTTTTTCTGATCTCCAATCTGAGCTTCCCCTGGCACAATCTGAGGCCATTTCCTCTTGTCCCATCAGTTGTTACTTGGGAGAAGAGGCCAACTCTCACCTGGTTACAGCCTCCTTTCTGGTAGTTGTAGAGAGCAATGAGGGCATCCCTCAGCCTCCTCTTCTCCCAGCAACTCCCGTAGCCATTTGCCAAAAAACTTGTGCTCCAGACCCTTCCCCAGCTCTGTTGGCTTTCTCTAGACATGCTCCAACACCTGCATGTCCTTTTTGCCTTGAGGGGCCCAGAACAAACAAAGGATTTGAGGTGCAGCCTCACCAGTGCCAAGTACAAGGGGACAATCACTGCCCTGGACCTGCTAGCCACACTACTGACACAGGCCAGGGTGCCACTGGCCTTCTTGGCCAGCTGGGCACAGCTGGCTCATGTTCAGCTGGAAGTGACCTGGTGACGTGGGAAGGTCTGCACATGCATCTCACAAGCTTGGCTCTAAGTGAGAAAGATAGATCAGAAAACAAAGTGAACAAAGGAAGAAAGAAGGGAGGAATGGGCACGAGAGGTAGCCGAGAGGAGCTGAAAATATACTGTAACAGGAAATAGGTACAGTAACAATGCCTCTACAAAAGAGATCCACAAATTAAAGCTTAGCCAGTGGGCACAAATATATTCTCAACAGAACAAAGAATAAAACCAATTGATCTCAGACATAATATGTTAAGAATTACAGAACTATACTATGAAATTATACTGGATACCACTTGCTATCCAGTAAAACTCACTAAAAGAAAATAGTTTTATCACTTATGCTGCAGTGCCCTATAATAATACAGCATTATGTAAGGTGACGTTGCTATTTATTTATTTATTGATATTGCTCATGAATAATGTACAGTATTGCAACACTTAGTAAATGAAACAGAACACAAATAGGATCTTTACTGGACTCATAGTACCACTGAGTAGTAATTAGCCTATTTGCAAAAATTACAGTAAAAAAGAAGGAAAAAAGAGGTTCTGACAGATTTTACAAATCCTGTATCGCCAGTAACCCAGGCCAATCATCAGCTTCTGGAAAACATGCCAGCAATTTTTTGTGGCAAATATATGTGCAAGGGAAAAAAAAAAATCCTCTTTTTACAGATCTCAAGCATATTGGAAGTAGCACAACTCTAGCTCTATCATGTTTCAGGAAAACCACAAAACAGCTTAGATAGAAACAAGTTCATTCAGCAACTGTTCACTGTGAACAATTACTGCCTCTTAGAGCTTCAAAAACCTTATGCTGTCATAATTGTTCTGTAACTTAGATATTTTTTCCTTCTCT